ATCGTTTTAGCTATCTTTTATTCCACCAGGTCTTCATCTGATTGATGTCTTTGACAACCTTTCCCTTTGCCTTGAGTCTCCTCTTAATGATTGCCCAGTATTTCTCAATAGGGCGGAACTGGGGGCAGTTGGGTCGGTTAAGGTTTTTCGGAACAAACTGGACCCCTTTCTCTGCATACCATTCTTGAACGACTTTGCTGTAATGACAGCTTGCCAAATCTGGCCAAAACATTACGGGATGGTCGTGGGATCGAATGAACGGCAAAATTCGTTTTTGGAGACACTCTTTTTGGTATAGTTCCGACGTCATTGTCTTATTTGTAACGAAAACTTTCGTTTTTTGCCACAGCTGCAAATGCCCTGCCAAATCATAAATTTTCGTGCAAATTTGTCGGCAAAAACCAATTTAAATTTGGCTGGAACATCCCCCCGAGCCGTTGCCAAGTAAAATTTTTGACCTGGGATTTGCCCGAAGTCAGCCTTGACATAGGTTTCATCGTCCATCAGAAGACACCCGTCGAACTTGGTCAGCACCTGGTCGTATAGCTTCCGCGCACGGATTTTGGCCACACTATTCTGTTTTATGGTCCGATTTGGCTGTTTGCTAGCTCGATACGACTTGATTCCTTGATTCCTTGAGTTCTCCTCACAGTACTATGGGCAGCACCGAAATTTCTGGCCAAATCACGGTCCGACAGATTGGGATTCCTCTTAATCGTCTTCAAAATCTTACCACGCAGTTTCCGGTCGACAGTTCCACTCCGACGGCTTGATGGCTTGGCTTGAGGCTTCCGAATCGTCGTCAATGCTTCCTTATACCGTTTGATAACGCGCCATACGGTATTTCTGGGCAATTTCAGCTGTTTAGCTAGCCTAGATGCAGACCACAATGGATTTTCCAAATAACTGTGCACAATTTTTTCCCTTCTTTCGGCTTCCATGTTGATTGTTTACAAAGTACAGTCGATTTGCGGAATGTCAAAAATACATACGTGAAGCTGACAAAATTCCCGACACGTGGGCGCCAAGAACTTCCAAATCCGTCCACCAGGAGCACCACAATATGAGCAAAAGTTTGTTCCAAATCTAAATGAAGCAAGCTTTATCAACTAATAAAAATTAAAATTGAAATTCGATGAACACCAAGCGAGAGTTGTGTCTATTTGTCTGTGACTCAACTGTAGAAAACTAACAATAAAATCGATGTAGAGAAATACAGGAATCCCCGAATAGAGCGTTGGGTGGTGCAGTCCACCCATCGCTGTCCCCCAACCGATTGAGCTGATTTTGACTAGCACCTATATTATTGACACTATGAACATTAAAAAGGCAGCTCAATTAGTTGAAGCCAGTGTTGAGAAAATTTAAAAAAATCAAATCTCAATCTCTCCCATGATTGCCTGATTTTCGTGGACAAATATAAACAACCAAACATTAGTAGATGATATTACATGATATCGTTGCTCCAAATATTAAGCCAAACACCAAGCCAATCACCAGGTATGATTAACACCAAATTGTAGTGAGTTTGGCAGCAATTTCCCATAATATTTTTTTTTTTTTTTTGTTTATTAATTTATTTGATAAGGCTCAACCGAATTAACTTAACAGAGCCGAGGATTCTTGGTCACTATACAATACGTCTTAAAGCTATAGTCAAAAGGTACAACACAATAAACACTTTATCTTCCGCTATCCAAAAAGCCTCCTCCATCAGAACTGGAGCCGCTTCCAGTAGTTTCATTGTATGGCAAATTGTTGTACGCCAACGAGGGTCAGAGCGCGTCCATTGCAGCAATGGACGCAAAATGTGGTCAGCACTCACACACTCATCACAAAACGGTTGCTTTCCAAAGTCGACGACGCATCGACCGAAAGAACTGCTGATGAAGAACAATGAGGAGGACCACACAATGGTTGCTGCCGAGTAAACAGACGATCGCGTAGCACACATCGAGAGTGGCCTGCTTTTGTCGACAGCCGAGTGAACACTGAATTTCCCATAATAATAACAATAGAATTTGTTAACAGTATAATATGTAAAAAGGCTGAAAGACAATGAACAAAAAGCTTTGTTTTCCCATAGTAATTTCCATATAAACTTCAAATGGTGGTTATCAAATGAGTTAAAACTTTCGGAGGCTAATCAGGACCCAATTTGAAACCGTTTGACCACCGTGGAGCGAAAATTTCAAATTTTGCATCAGTCTAATGACCATCCATCAAGTTGACGAAATAAGTAAAAAGCAACTGGTGAATGTCGTCTTCGGTTGTGATCCATCACCTGGTCATTCCCGACAATCACGGCACTCATTTGTGCTTGTTTTGAAGCAGTTGCTGCTTTGCTTGCTTATGTGAGTGTGATGGTGAGTGAGTCCAACAGCTTCCGTTTAATGTTGCCTACTTTGTTTTGGAACTCACACAGTCGCGCCTGCCGAGACGAACTTGGAATGCGTAGGCATTGTTTTCATTTTCTTCTGTCGTTTCGCATTTTCTCGTGTTCGTACTGCAGAAATCTTCACTGTTTTCGTTGTGCTTTTCATCATCAGCAGCGAGCGTAACGTTTTGCTTGTGAGCAGCGACCATTACTGGTGATTGTTGTTTGCCATGGCTCTACCTCTCATTGCTTGACAAAACGTTCTGTCAGCGAAAGTCGGTTGATGCGTAGACGAGAGTCACGTGAGTGTCATGATATTTTGCATCACTGGCGATATCACAGCTTGTAATTTCATCCGCAGTTGCTTGCTTGTTCATTTTTGTCTACGACAATCAAGCGTGATCCTTGGGCATTGGTGAGGTTTGATTGTTTGATATTTTTCCAGCACTGATTGCAAGTACATAAAATTTTGAGATTTGTGAACGTGGTGCACTGGTAGATTTATGTTAGGGCGACGCCGCTTTGTTAACTTTTCTTTTATTGTCTTGTGAAAAGATAAACGAAGTGAATGAAGCGACGCTTTCGTATGTATACCTTAAAAATCACAATCAGTAAAATCATGCTGGACGTGGTGAGTTGGATTCTCCGTCCAGCCAACACATTTTCTGAATTGGGTTTTTTTAGTTTCCTAGGGCATATTGGTAACTCTGATAGAAGTGCTCAAAGATCAATAAGCTAAGGGCTGTCTCAAAGTTACAGTTGGAACGTCATAACCAAAGTAGAAGAATGATATCTTTACTCCTTGATAGTCGGGCAAAAGAGTACTGCCCTTTGATGACTGTGATTTTCTACAATCCATTATCGAATATTGTTGTCGATTTAAGTTATCCATCTTGGCTCCGACGAATTCGGTTTATTGGTAAACAAACATCCTTTCTCCGAAATCATTGTGCTGGGTTATAATCTTCAATATTTCGTCACAGACCTTCAAAAGATACATACATTGAACTAAATTTAATATTTCGAACATTGAGCAAAGCATATATTCATCAAATATAAATGATATCTATCAGTTCAAGTTTATTTTCCGTTCCTCAATTTTCTGATAAATGACATCGCCAAAAAAAAAACCAACAAATAATTATAATATTCTTGATTACTAACACTCACGTCTATCTACCATTATTCTCGTTGTTATTTAACTTCTTTTGCCCTCAATCGTCAAAATCACTACTAAATCTAAACAAAAATCAAAACCAAACCAAACCAAAAAAATACTCAAAACCACTCAAAATAATCCACGTTCGCAGTCGGTAAGTATGCTGTCAGAGCTAACATTTATAGTTTGTTTCCGCCGCCATGTTTTTCTCATTTCTTCCTTTCGATTCATTTTTTTTTTCTTTCTCTCTCTCTCTCTCAGTTCCGATATGATTGCTTCACCCATCCATTCGTCATTTGTTTCATTGTTGTCAGTCAGTCATCGTTTTTTTTTTCGATTTCGATTGTTTTTTTTTTTATATTCTTTCCTTTCGTGTTCACCTTCATTCCTGATTTCGCGTGAGTCATGTGTGCGTTTTGTGTCGTCGATCGAATCACACATCAGTGCGATTTAATCTCTCTTTCTCTTTCGACTTAATCACGGGATCACTCCCTGGTCGTCCGTGGTTATTTCTGATAGTTTAGTTAAATGTGAGAAAAGTTTTGATTTCTATTCGGTTGTTTTTTTTTCTGTTTCATTTTAGTATCATTTCCGACACGTAATTTGTGCATTCTTTTTGTTTTGTGAACTATCTCTATCTCACTTAAAACCAAATTCCCCTCTCCTCCAAAGTTGCCAACCGCCAAGAAAAGGAAATCTTTCTTATTTTATTCTTTTTTCTCTCCTTTTTCCTAAAGACAGACCAATATTATGATGAATATAAATTTAACATGAAGGAAAGGTAAAATTAACTATTCTTAAACTGCTGCGATTTTTCTCCTACATAAGTAATCAATAACCACTACTACCAGCATTTACTATTTATCGATAGAGAGTGTTCTGTTTCGTGTATCGATCGAAAAGCAAAATTTACTACCATCACTACCAGAACAAAGCAAAATCTAACCAATACTCCTAAAAGAAGCCCCCTGATGAACCGAACAGAATATGTTGACCTTAACTCTAAATTTAACTGTCTCCCGAGTAGATTAGCATCTCTTCTAGTCATAGGAAAACGAATCGAAAATCACATTTTACAACCTTTATTTATGTTTTGCCATTTTCGTTTTATCAATCATCTCTCTTCAAGTCCATTCGACAACCCTCAGAAAAAGAAAAAAAAAAACAGAATACAGCAAGTAATGCAATAACTGCGAACAGCACAGCCTACTTTTCGATTTTGTCATTTACCTTAAAAAACAAAACCAAAAAAAAAAAAAGATCAAAGTTGCAGCTCAAATCTCTTTCTCCATATTGCAAGAGAGATCCATTTTTGATAGTGATTTATTTTTAAATCTTCCCCCTTGACCGGAAAGGTACCCTCCACTAACTGGACGTTTCCACCGTTTGTTCTTATTTTATTTCCGATACACCTTTTTTTGGTTTGGTCGAACTTTTGCGACGCTGCCCTATGGACCTATGCAGATCGAAGAAGAAGCACTCGAAGCGTTCGCACCACCGGGATGGCAGCGAAGCGCCCTCGGATTCGGACTCGGACTCGGACAACAGCTCCGGAGCGGAGGATTCGCACTCGGACCACGACGGAGGTGGCAAACGCCGCAAACGGGCTTCCCGGAAAGACAAGGTAGGTCATGGAATGTCCTCGGTTCATTAGCGAATGATCACGTACCTCTAGTACCAATGTATGCTAATTTACAATTTTTTGGTTTTTCGGTTTAGTGAAGGAACAAGTTTTTTTTTTCGGTGAACCCTGTAATAGGGTTTGCTTCCTTCTTTTTTTTCCGTATTCAAATTTGATAAAAGAAAAATATGAATTACGCATCAAATAAGGCTTCCTTCAAGCGTACGTTAGATAAGCATCGAGCGGTGCTCGTCGAATTTCTGTGTGTTTCATATCGTTTCACAGTTCCATAAATCACTGAATTCATAAAATGTTGTATGTACATTTATTTCGACAGCTTGCGCAAGCCCCAGATGTTTCCGTTAACCTATTTCATTAACTACCTACTTACTTTTTTTTTTTTGTATATTTATCAACGTCTTTTCTTGCCAAATCATTTAAACGCGGAACTCTCTCGCATTAGAAGTGAAATTTGTAGAACTGTCCAAGGTACCGTTTTTTCGTACTTCATTTGAAACGAATGTAATCGAAAACTGCTAATTCGGAATGTTCGATTCGGTTATTAAAATGAAGTAGATTATGTTTTCGTGAATTAGTTTCATTAGCTCTTCCGTTATTGGTTGCTTCAATTTGAGTTGCTCATATCGAGAAAACCTTTTGATTTTACAGACTAACATTGTGTCACAAAACTGTCTAACATCCAAACCTACATACTCAAGCAAGATTACAAACATTGAATACTGCCCAAGTAACATTTTAAGTTTTATGAATTAATACAAAGCTACTATAAAACAACATTCATAAAACTCTGGTCAAGGCTACTGTGTCATTGATGCATCCACCAAAACCTTATTAAGACTAGAATCTGTCTAGTTGGCCCATCCTGGAGAAGGTTCTGAAGGGTATATTTTCGAAGCTCTTCAAGATTGATTTACTGCAAAAAGGTTGTATGACAAACGTGTTGAGAACCATTTGAAACCCGTATTTAGGCTACAATAAAAGCTATTTGACATCAATAAAAACCTTTTTCAAGCCATTTTCCCTAGCCGCTTGCTGAATCCACTAGAAAAATCATCAATCGAGATAGAAAAGGATTATAAAATACCATCTGATCTTACCAATATAATTGAAATATAAACTGATCATATAAAAAGCCTTTTCAATTTCAAAATTTATTAAAATTGTTCTTATAAAGTGGCCAAGTTAAAGGTGCCATATTGAATCTTATGTGAAATGTACTTGAAAGCATCGAAAAAAATAAGTCCGCCCTCGGAAAACGTTGATCTCACTTATTAATTTTAATCGAGAAGAAAAATTAATTATTCTTTAGATTGATCATTAAGCTCAGCCGAGGTATGTTTTATGATTATCGTGTTTCAAATATCTGCTCATTCCTAAATTGACCAAAATAAAGTTATATCCATGGAAATACACATTGAAAACGAAGTTTGTAAAAATCAAACTAAATAATTGTAATATGGCGGGGGCTTGAAAGTTGGTTTTCATTGGCCATTTGTGATAAAGTTGTTTTGTTTTAATTTCATAAGGTTTTAAAATAGCTTTTATGAAGAAAACTTCCTGACTGAATTGTATTTATCTAAAGCCATTTTGCTTGATCCTATCCCGTTCAGATTTATGGCAGCATTTATGGAGGCAAAGTTGCCTGCAAAAAGTTAAACGCCAAAGTTTGTTTATCTTTCGATAGTTGCGTTGTTCGATCATTGCAACGAGGTTTTACTTCAGCGTTCTTCCAGGGGATTTTCTCCCGCTGAATTGGAAGCAGTTACTAAGGAAGTGTGCGGAACTGTTTTGCAACATTTCGCATATATCGCAACGCAACAACAACAGCTGGAAGCTCAATCGTTCCCGTAAAATATCCCCTTCTTCCGGATGATTCCCGAAGTGCCCCATCAAACGATGCAGTTGAAATTAAGTACGTTTGAATGAAATTTCGAACCTTTCGCTGAATAAAATGACTGCTATGAATCGGAAACCAGCCAATCTCCACTTACTGACAGTTTCAACGGTTTGCTGTAGGTACAAATGCAAATAATTTCGTTCGTCCGATCTGGAGAAGGATGGTTTGTTTTTAGACTGTTTCATAAAGGAGACGGTCAACACCGGTCAGAACGTGATGCAAACGCCAGATGCTCAGTCGTTGCTGAAATTGACTTCCCTTCGGTCGTTAACATCGCTTGAATGTTTCATCCTACTTTGTATTCTCTTCGAGATTTCCTTTTCATAAATATTGCTTTTATTCACTATGAGGATCCACCTTTTGAGTTCAATGTGGAAACATAGTAATTGGGGAATTTATGGTACACTTTAACAAGTCTAAACAACAACAATATATGCTTTTTGCTCTCATTTAAAACCTAATTGTTTTATGGTTGCTTTTATAATGAAGTTTATGATTGATTTACAGAACAGTTTTATGGATGTATTGGGGGCCTCCCTTAGCTCAGTCGGTAAAGGCGCAGCTACAAAGCAAGACCATACTGGAGGTGGCTGGGTTCAATTCCCGGTCCGTTCTTGGAATTTTTCGGGTTGGAAAATTTCTCGACTTCCCTGGGCATAGAAGTATGAATGGACTTGCCACACAATTATACCAATGCCAAAATGGTACAGGCATCGAAAGCTCTCAATTAATAACTGTGGAAGTGCATCTAGAACACTAAGTTGAGAGCACACAATAAGCTAATATGCGATATGCAATAAGTTTGAAATGCGAAGAAGAAGAAGAAGAAGAAGAAAGCTGCTTTAAATTTATTTCTTAAACAACTTTCTAGACAGACTATAAAAGGTTTTTAAAACAGTAATAAGCTGAATTACTAACCAGAAATGTTTTACACTTTGAAATGCTGTATTTAAACTAAATGGATTGTTTACTTCCGTTATAAAACCATCATAAATCAGAGTGGATGCCAAGTAGCTGCTGACTTGCAGGGCTGGTAGCAGGTCACTTTTTAGTGACTTGGTCACTATTTTCAAGCCAGTCACTAAAAAGTCTCTTTTTTCATCAAAAGGTCACTAAAGTCACTATTCCTTAAAATTTAGTCACTAAAGTCACTTTTTTACTACCAATGTTGAGAAAATACTTCAAAAACTCACATCAAATCACAGATTGATTTAGTAAAAAATGTGTGTTGATTTAGTAAAAAATGTGTGTCATTAAAAATGCGTGTAAATTCTGACGGACAAGAAAAGTTGCGAACAAACGGAAATGTTAACTGTAAAATTGATGTTGACGAAATCACTAATATTTTTATTTGTTTGATCTCGAATTGGTTATAGACCTATCACAAATTGTAAGAGGTTTCGCAGGTTGTAATTTTCTCAATTTGGTTGTGTTAGAGATCTCGAATTTTTAGGCCCAAAAAATGGTCCAAAACCAAGGGGTAGGTCACTCCGCACACCAATCCTGGGTCATCTTTTTGTCAGTGTGCCACAGGTGTGCCGATTGTGCCGGTCATAAAGCAAGCTGCGATTGTTTGTAAAATACCCATCCCGGCAACCCGGTATTCCTGACACCTTGAATGTTTTGTTTGAAATCGTAGGGGTAAATCGGATTGAGGATTATGCGGGAAGTGGCGGGTGTGCAAAATTTTGGTGTTTTGTGTTCATAAATAGGATAATAAAAGTTCTGTGTTTTAGGGTTTTATAATGCCCTCAAAGGTAGAACAGAACCCTAGCCTTTCATGATGTGAAAAGCAACGGTCTATTAGCGGTCGGAAAGAGTTGGAACCGGTGGGGAACATGGTTCAAGATCGACTATAGAGGATGATGAATAGACTTCTGTAGTTTGTTTGGTGTGAGTTGCAGCATTATTTGAATTAAGGGTATTAATGAGGTCTAATTAACTGCCTCTGTCTCTTGAGCCCACCCTACATTTCGTATTTAGATCTATATTTTAACTGCTGGTCTGAGTTCCTCTGGTATATTCAATTAGAGGATGTTACTGAATATACAGTTAAGGGGGTAGTACACTTTGAACGTCCAAAAAGTAATGCATTTTCGTTAATTTTTTTAAGCAATAACACACTCAGGGAGGGCAAATATGTTATAACCCATTTATTAGTCATCCTTCGAACTACAATTTGTATTTTTTTGAACTCGATTGGCGTCTCCCCGTGGCCGGTGCACCAGGTCGCGCGGGCGTCCTCGCGCAGAAGTCGGAAAACGGCGTGGGAAAATACTCCTTTCCATGTGATCCTGGAACATAAATCGAACAAAAATCCTGATAGTAATGAAATTTGGGTTAGAAATACGTATTCCGATTTTTTTTTTAAATAAATTTTTTCAAAAGTTGTGGCCTTAGGAAAAAAAAGTCCATTTTTTCACCCTAAAAATGCTTACAAAATCGTGGATTAAAAATCCATTTTTGACAAAATCGAAAATGTGGATACGTATTTCTAAGCAGAATTTAATTCTGAACAAGAAAACCTAGGCGATATCCAAATTTGATGATAACTGGTTAGAGTTATTTCCCACGCCAGTTTGAAAAACCCCGTTTCGAGATAAACGCGTTTAAAGATAAAATTGCTCTCTCAGTGCGCCGGTACATGTTTTAGGAAATCGCTTCGTAAAGCGGTAAGGAATATTCTGGCGGACTTGGAGTCTTTTCTAAATTAAAGTATATATCCCAAGGAACATTAAGCCAAAAAAATGCATTTTTTTTTTGAAAAATCAAAGTGTATTTCCCCCTTAAACATCAAATAATGTTGTGAACAACTTCAATGACAGTTGTCTAGCAGTGCTTCCATTTTATTTAAAATGATCCAATGCCTACGAAATTGTGCCGAAGATGTGCCAATGGATGTGCCCAAGCTGTGCCGAATCTAGTTTCGGCACAATGTGCTGAGTGACTTACCCCTTTGTCCAAAACTCTAAAATGCATCCCTAAATCCCTAATTTTTCACGATCGAGATTTTTAGACTTAGACGCATTCAAATTTTGTTTTATGTCCGTGATCTTTCCATCTGGGATAATTTTCTTCGATCCAC